AGGCTTTTTTGTCCAGATCACAGTTCAGTCTGAAGTGTCTTTACTTCATTAAAAGAGCTGTCTTCTTACATAAATATACATTAAGATACAATATTACTTGAATGCAGAGTTGGCAAACAACAAAGAAGTAAGTAATTCACACAATAAAATGCTGACCACACTGGCACAATCATCATCGATAATAATCCTCTCTGGTTTATGATCTAATTTTACACCCCGAACAATCTGATCCTAATACTGCTATCATAAAAGCTGAACATAGTTAATACTTCACCTAAGTTTTCTTGTCAGTGATGTGGTCACTCATTAGCAACGTAAGGAAGGATGAACAATCGGTTTGAAACTGTAACTTGTTAATGGGATTCTTTGAATGGAACTCTTGGGGGCACGCTATCCGTAATTCACTTTTACATACAACTATCCGATTGAAAAGATGAATCTCAAAGTAAAGACAAAGGGACTTTACATGAACTGCACTTCCTTACTGTGAGAAAGTAGTTGTTAATCCGCGATAGGGCTATCCTGGCTGACAAGATGGTGAAAGTAACAAATAACAGTTTTGACAATGTCCACAAGTTTCTTTCCAGACATTTTATTTACATTTCTACACAATTTGAGAACTTAGTTAGGATGTGCCCGGCAAAACACATACACAAATTGCATACTGTAATTTGCCAAGCTCAATGAAATGTGCATAATCCTTGTGCAACAGATTAAAACCAATGATCTACAAGTCATTTTACAAATATTACAACTTAGATGTATACAAACCTAGTCCACAGTTGCTCAAAACAGCAAATGTTAGAATTTTTAATGCAACTTCATTTTCCAGACACAAGACCTTAAAAACCCTGCTAAAATTGTAATTTAGTAACCAATTACAAAATAGAATATCCATAAAGAGGAGGAAGGGAAAGACAAAGTCTGCTTCTGATCAGTGTTTGCAAATTCTTGAACATTTAATAGGAAAGGTTAGAATTTTATACATACAAAAAAACTTTACACCTTACAATGAATTCCCCAAAAGCACATCCTGTTAGCATGGAAGGGATTGCTATCTCTGGTGATTTGTGATGAACACAGGAGTGTAGTTACCAACAGATTTCCCCAGCCTCACTTTGGATTTAACAGCAAAACCCTGCCATCCAAAGTTTCTGCTCACACAGTACTTGTAGGGGCTAACCTTCCAGTTTTGTACTGGGTGACCAATATTTAGGGTACACTGTCACCTTGAACTCAAGATATTAGCATCACTTGACACTATTTCTTCCAGATTTGCCCTTTTGCAATAAACCTTTTAAACTGTGATCAGAAAATCTTGAAGTCTGCAAACAGTCACCAGTCTCACTACCCTCTGTCTTGATGTGAGGTTCTAGGCTGGTGCTGCGTTGGACCATCTTTGATGGGAAAGAACTGCATTCTCTCCGGATACTCCCTGAGCTTCAGTGCAAGAAAACAGGCAAGTTTGCTTCCACCATCCTGGCATAATTGAGAATTTCTCTGTGTGAAATGGAAGAGCATATTTTCCAGGAAGTTGGTGGCGGGAGGGGGTGCAGGTGGAGAAGGGAAGAGTCGTCTGCATGGAAGGGAACATAATTATCAAGGCAGTGCGATAAGAAAACATTTGTGTACATCTAAAAAATTGCAGACTCCTCGACTCGGTATCTGCACTCTGATAGTATGGATGCTATGCAAGAAGCTAGAGGATGTTTCTGGATCACTTCATTAAATGTTCTTCTGACAACAGTAAGCACTTACTTCTTTGGAGTGAACTCAGATTCCTGACACAAGATGATGGAAGTGAACTGGAGCAGGTGGTCAGTGTGTATCTCTTGATATCAGTGCACCTGGGGCACCCTCATGTTTAGGCATCACAACTGATTAAAGACATCAATAGCTTGTGATTATTTGTTACTGATAGCTACACTAGACTGCCAGGAAAGGAACTAACGAACAGCACAGTTGACTGAGGAAATAAAGATCCACAATAGGTTTGGCAAGGCGCAACAGCAAGGACTGGCTACGTACTGAAATCTCTTGGGAGATAATTATCAGTATAAGCATAGAATATTCTAACCCGTTTCCAAGACAAATTGTTAATCTATATTCAGTCCATTACTAACATCTGCTATTGGCAGTTTCAGTGCAATGCAATTTGCAGTAACCACCCGTTGGCACTGCCCATCTAATAGAAAGGTCAGGACAATATAATATTTTAGACTTGAACTTGTTCTGGCAGGTTCCTGTCAGTGCTTATATTCAAGGAGGAAGATTGCACTTGATATCACCAATGCATATCTTAACACCAACCTTCCTCACTCAATGCTATTAAACCACAATCCTTCAGTATTAGCCTGTTCAGCTTGGACAGAAGTACCTTATTACAATGAGATCGAGAGGGCGATGATTCAGTTCTGGGTGCCTTCTGGATTCTCACAGCCTAGATCCAGTACACAGCTTTTAAACTGCAGTGCAACCTCTCAGATGTCTGCACTGATTGTACTCCTTACGAAACAGGAATACTTTCAAAAATAGTCCTTCCACTCCAAGAACACACAAGTCATCTTGTTTTGCTTCACACACATCTACAATTTTACAATATTAAATTAGCAATTCCAACTTCTGAACATAGTGGGTTTGAATTTAACAAAAACTCTCTTCGTCATTATAAAACAAAAATGTGCAATTTCAACCAAGTGTACATTCCTATTCCACAAGGAATTTCCAGTCTCTTCAGAATTTGGCTGTCCCCTCCATCTATACATCAGACAGAAACCAACACATCGAGGTAGAGTCTATCGTAGGATTCCTTGAACAGCAGAATAAGGAGAAGGCTGAAAAGACACGATGCAGTCAGGCACCAATTCAACCAGTTAACGTCTGAAAAGTAAGAAGAACACAATGTTAGTGCCATGAACAGAAAACAGTGGTCAACGTGCCTATAAACCAATTCAAAGTTGGCTGGATGGTTCATTTGTGATGCAGAGTAATGCCAACAGCAAAGATTCAATTCCCTCACCAGCTGAGGTTGGTGTGAAAGTCCTACCTTCTCAATCTCGCCCCTTGCTTGAGGCATGACGACTCTCAGGTTTAAACTACCACTAGGTGCCTCTCTCTCTGTCACACACAGAGAACAGCCCCACAGTTGTCTGGGACTATGCGACTTTAGTCACTAGTGGCTATTACCAGAGAGGATGGTGAAAGCAGGACGAAAATAGTCCCTCAACACTGACTGTCCAAGCTTTGAGAAGTCATTTGGTTGGATTACCACCAACATTTTTGCACAGCTGGGCTATATCAAAATGTGGTTGACTCTTAATTGCCCTCTGGGCAATTAGGGAAGGACAATAAATGCTGCCTGGCCAGTGATGCCCTCATCCCGTGAATGAATAAAAAGAAAGCCAGCAACTACAGGGGAAAATAAAGAGAGAGAAAACAGAGGAAAGTTAACCCCTATAATCCATTGCACAGGTGACCAAAGACCACTAGCTAGCAATGTGAACTCTCTCCCTCCCAAGATATTGTCTGACCTGCTGGAGGAATTGGAGTGCCCTAAAAAAAGCAGTGGAGGATGCAAGATTTTTAATAGCTTTTTAAAACAAAAATGGTTAAACATCTCACAAAAAGCTAAAAGGAAAAGGCGGTGGGGGGTGGGGGGGGGGGGTGCAGTGGGGAGCGTTAAATGACAAAACAATAGCTCTTTCAGACAGCACAAACACAAGGGGCTGGGCAGTCCCTGATACTTCAGTGTATGAATGATTCTATAGTATGGTCAATTTTTTATCTTGTAACATCACACTAAAACAATGTGATATCATTGCTGCAAATCCTCAAGAATACATCAGTGTTACAACCAAGAGATCATCCAAATCCAATCCAGTTTTCGGGCATAAAGGTACAATATTCTTGACAGAGATGTGGCTTCTCTTATTTTCTAAATGTTGCTCACCGTTATTTTTATTTTACATATCATGTTAACTGCAGAACAGCACAAATCATCACAACTGTTCAACTAGATGATTACTGCTCTTATGGAAAAAAGTAACTTTCCTCCAATTTGCTCTGCAGTGGGGATTTGCAGAATTGAGTATTCAGCTATGTTGTGAAGGTGCGCAAGGAGAAAAGCAACCCTGAATAACAAAATGCACTGAACCATTCAGATCGTTAGTCCAGGTGATTATATGCTAAAAAGATTTCGAGCTGCAACGTATGACGGCTGCATGAAGGATCAGGATCAGGATCAGGATCAAATGGTAAAAAAATGGAGGCCTCACGTTAAAACAGTACTTAGAACCCTCTGATAACTGTCTGCTCTCTGATTAAAACCGTAATGAAGCTTATCCTGGAACATTTGGTTTCCAATTACAGTCATTTCAGCTCAGGCCATGATAAATGCAATAATTCAGACAAACAGACACAAGAGAAATTGTTCAATTTACCAAGACTGTGATTTGCACGATGACCTATTCCTTGCAGCATTTAAACTAACAGCTTTCTGCAAAGATTGCGATGAACCTCAGATAGAAGTGTGAGAATTCCTTTTTACAGCCCTCCCCCAACCAAACCGCAAGAACTCACAAATCCACCTTCAGGCACACACACAAATGACAGTTGTCCAACCTGGAGTCACATGGGTTTGTGAACACGAGTGCCTGCTCCTACCACATTCAGCATTCCCACCCAAGGCAAGATCAGAGGGCATCCTTATCACGATTCATTTGTACTATTTAAGCTCTGTACAAAGTATGCAACTATTCATGTTAGTGTTGTGGCTTGCAGATTGTGCACATGTAGGATCTGAAACTTTATGCCCACGCAGTAACTGGAAGTGCAAGATGGACCCCTGAGGACAACAGAAAACTGTGGACCTTGATGAACAATAGGTCAAATATATCACCTTAACCAAAGAGACTGATGGATGGAGAAATAAACAGATGAGCTGAGGAGGGTGATTTAGAGGGGGAATTAAACATAGAAACAAGCACAGAATGAGAAATAGAGAGGGAGAAAAAAAGATTGAAAATAGAAAGTTCAAAATATAAAATTTAAAAATGCAAATATTTAAAATTTGCACATGACAACCACGCTAGAAAGTCAAACAAAATCCCGTTTATGTACAAGTATTACAAAGAATGCTTGCCCATTCCTTCCATTTAGCTACTGTGAATAATGCAGTCCAAGAACATGTTATTTCATTCTAGCTTTTGAAATCTGGAGCTCTGTTTACTTTAGTGCTTTATCTCTGCCATACATTCAGTGAAGGAATCTCAATTTATTCAGACTTGGACATGACCTAAGCGAGCATTACTTGTGCATGCTAAATACTTCCTTCATGCCTTAATGATCAGGCAGAAAAGTTTCAATGCTGCCTTGGGGAATCCATAATTCATGAACCTGCAGTCGCAAGTTTCAGTCTGCAGTTTGGCAGGGAGAGGGTAGGGGGAGGAAAAAAGGTCACAACTAAGGTAGTCAACTTGCAAATTATTCTTGTGGGTTTAACTCTTTCTTCCTACACAGTTAAACAAATCAAATTATTCATAGCCACATCAATGAATTACAGAGACAGATTTTCAAAATGAGCTTAGGGGGAAAATCAAAAATTAATGGTAATTTTAGAATTTATAGGATCTCATATCTGCATGCCTTGGAGCATTGCCAGCCACAGATTTTACTAGAGTTGGAACAAAGTCCAAACTCTGAGCACAGGAATAGGGGATATATCTTGACAGAAAAACCATGAGCTTAGATAGTCTGCATGCCATAAATGCCAGAATATTATACAAGCGGCAGTGTGCAGATTAACAAATGCACATCCTCATGTTATATAGCAAGCTAATTCATCAATATATCATTAATCTTCATTACAGTAAATCAAGTTACAAGAGATTTAAATGCATACCAGCCCCATTTATATTGCAGAAGCTATAATGTTTCAAGACTATCATGCCAATGAGACCAAGCTAAGTTTACAGCACATTCATAAGGATAAAGAAGTTGACCCCACCAGCCTCTATTCTCTTCCATAGTGACAAGTACTAATGAAATTCAGTGAGGAACCAATGCAGTTGTTATGCGAGGACCACTAGGTGACCATATTTAAATAACAAAAAGCATAAAAATAAAGCCATTCCAACCTATAATTGCATTGTGGAGAGGAACAAGAATGTCATTTTTAGTTGAAAAATATTTAATATGCAACAAGAACAAGGGAATCACTAAACTGCTAACATTCTTGGCAAGATTGTTCCTCCAAAATGCTTTACAGATTCTTAATGCAATGCAAACGTAATTTAGAATAAGCAGATTTACACTTCAGCATAAATAGATCTAAGCTTAGGTGTTTTTCTTTCAACACAACATTTTGATACAGTTAGCAAGACAGTAAAAGGCCTTTTGTTTTTAAAGCATTATGACAGTGTATTGCTACCACTCAACACTATAAAAACGTGTTGATACTATCAATAACTGTTAAAACAGTGACCAATCAGCTTGCAGAGCTGCGAAGGGAACATTTACAGATGGGTTGCTTGATAACACAGAACTTGAATGTTCCTGAAAATAGACATGCTGCAGGAATATTGTTTTAATCTTGCACTCATCAAGACAACTACAAGAACGCCAAAGTCCAAAGAGAATAACAACTTATAATGCATGAGAAATACTCATTTACAGACTGATTCTTAAAAGGTCAGTTTTGATCAACTTGGAAGTAAAAATGGAAATTGCTGGAAGCGTCATAGTTAACAGGTCTGGCAGCATTGATGGTAAGAAAATAAAATTAATGCTTCAGGTCTGTGTTCTTATGGCAATTTTCTTTTGCTCCACAGATACTGTCACATTTTCTTAATATTTCAAGCGTTTTGTTTTATTTCCAGGTTTCTGGCGAGTGCAGTATCGCAACATTTTGTGTTATCAACTGAAGGAGACAAGCAGTTTCAAACAAAGTCTTTCCAGTGCTGAGTGGAAGCAATGAAGACAAACATAGCAAGTTTTCTGAAGTGGGTGTGTTCTTGGTGTTAGAACACCGAGAAGGCACCTATTATTTAAAGCACATATCTCTGTTTTCATGGGCACAATACTTTTTGGTAACGTTTTCACAAAATGTGGGGGTAGCTACCCAACACTAATTGACTGTGAACTGAGTGGCTTGCTGGGCCATTTCTGATGTTGGGCTAGGAAATCCAGACCCTGGTCTCATGATATAGAGACAGGAGTTCAAACCACATCTTGGCAGCTGGGAAAGTTTTACTCCAAGTAAATTAATTTCTAACTAAACAAGAGTCAACTACATTGTCATGGGTCGAGAGTCATATATAGGCCAGTTTGGGGAAGGATGGGAGACTTCCTTCCATAAAGGACATTGGTGAACCAGATCATTTCTTTTTCTAGCAATTGATGACAGTTGTCATGATAGATGTTGTCACTGAGACAAGCTTTTAATACCACGTTTATTGATAGAATTAAAATTCTGCTAATTATAGCTGAATCTGTCCCCGTAGCATATTAGCCTAGGTCTTTAAATTACTAATCCAGTGCCATTATCACTATGCCGACATAACAGATTACTAGCCGTGAGCAAACAGCAACAGTGTGTACAAAAATCACTGCTTATTCTGACATTTTCTTTCTCTATTCAGGCTTAGCAGTGCCACCAGATATTAAAGGTCACAGATCTGAAAGGTTAAATATAATTTTCTCATCACAGATCCACAGGCCCTGGTGAGAATCTTCCGGCACTCAGAGTTTCTTTGCTTTCATTTTAGATAACTTTTTCTTTCGTTCTGGTCAATGCTACTGAGGATGCAATTAATAACATATCCCCCAAAGGAAAGATGACTCTTCTCTCAGCAGTGTAGCAGAGTTGAGGAGCGTTTAACCTC